TCGGATCCTCTCGAGCGGATCCCTGAAGCGTGCCTCCATTGCAGCAAGGAACCGCCTCGTAGACCCCAAACATGGATCGCGCCTGGTGTGGAGCTGGACGTACCACTCCGCTGCTCCTCCTCTCAGTGCTGTGCCCACTGCCCGCACCCTGCTCGCCTCCGATCCGAAGGTAAGGGCGTTGTCCTCTAGATACCCTCTCACCATGGTCAGGAAGTATGCGAGTTTCTCTGCTTCTCCTCCGAACTCGATCCTCAGCTCCTCCCTTCTTGGTTGGTAGAGAAGGGGTTGCCTCTCCTGGTTCTCCGTTCGGGGTGGCCCTCCCTGGAGCTCACGCTGCTCCGGGGGCAATTCTTGACGCCCTGTGCCACGCCCGGCTCCGGCTGGGGGCACCAGGAACGTCTGCTGGGGCGCCAGTCCTCGGGGTTGTCTCTCCTCCTCGTCGCTCTCCGCAGGGGCCCTCCAACTCGTCTGCGTTTTAGGACGTGCCCCGGTTCTCCGATCACTCCTCTCCTCCGTGCTCCATATCGAGTCCCCTCGGGGTTGTGGCTCCTCTAGCAATGGGGCCAGCCGCTCCATTACCCTCGACATCATCGCGAGGGTGGTCTCCATGGACGCCAACTTCTCCTCCAAATAGTCTATCCTCTGCGGGGAGGGAAAGTCCAGTCCACTGCTTTCTCTCGCCGCTGCCTCTGCCCCCTTCACTCGCCTCTGCGTGATTCCGTTGGGCTGGGCATATGCGGTCGATGAAGCCAAGGCATTCACTCTCTCCAGCTCCTCTTCCGCATTCTCGAAAGGGGAGCCAGGTTCCCCTCCCTCCGTTGGGTCTTCCTCTCGTTGCATATAGGTACCTCACCACAGCCGTGGGATGGCACCGAGGAATCCTGGCTTAATGTAAGCTCACAGCAGCCGCTCCCCAGCCGTGGGATGGCACCGAGGAATCCTGGCTTAATGTAAGCTCACAGCAGCCGCTCCCCGAAAAGACACAAGACGCCAGTCCGTAATCAATCAGGAAACCTTTTACTACTGGATACGCATACAGAATGAAAGCCAGGATTGGCACACAGACGCATGTCAGCCCTTTATATACCCTCCCCACATTCGAATCCCCCCTTCCCGCCAACCCAGGATCCCGCTCAATATTCCCCGCCAAGCCACCAACTTCCCTTCCCAAGGCCACCAGCTGCAATCCCTTATCAGTTCTCCATGTCAGGAATCCGGTTTTTTGCGCCACCTTCCAAGGCCAGGAAACCGAGTCCTGACACATATAAATAAAGCTATTTTCCCTATCGGTGGCACTGAAATCAGTAGTATGTGCTTAACAATCAGTGGGATCTTGGAGTTGGAAAAATGTCATGTTTTATGTCTTGTTAGGAAATATTCTGTAAAACTTTAAAATGCATTACAAAATTATCTCTCTGAGTGTTAATTTCCTTATCTATCATGCTGCTGTACAGAAAAAAACACAGTCTCACCACCCCATCTTGCATAGCTTAGGACAGCGAAGCAAGATGCACTAAATTCACTTTTTTCTTTTTGGTTGAATTTCTCTTAACTGAAAGGCTTGGGACCTGATAGATAGATAGATTAGATAGAGATAGGTTGGTAGATAGATTGATAAGAAGGACTGCTGGGAGTTGCAGTCCAAGAATAGGTAGAGAAGGAAGAAAGGGGAGAAAGAGGAAGGGAAAGAAAAGGGAAGGAAGGGAAGAGGAAGAGAAGGAAGGAAAGAGAAAATGAAAGAAAAAAGGGGAAGGAAGGAAGGAAAGAGGGAGAAAGGAAGGAGAGAAAGAGGTAGGGAAGGTTGGCCACAGCAACCCGTGGCAGGCACAGCTAGTCTATATGAATAAAAATGTCATGTTCGATTGTGGGGTTAGCTTAACTCAAAAACCACTGGACAAATTGACACCAAATTTGGACACAGCACGTGTATCAGGCCAACAAGTGACCATCACTCATTAAAACACTGAAAAACACAGCAGAAGAGACTTAAAAAGACAAAAAATACATTACAATGCATGTGCAAGACCATATATATATATACACACACACACACACACACACATGCAAACACACACATATGCACATATACACAAATATATACACACACAAAGCACATATACACAGACTGAGCCACAGCAACATGTGGCAGGGGACGGCTAGTAATCTATATAAATAAAAATGTAATGTTAGTTTGTGAGATTAACATAACTCAGAAACCACTGGACGAATTAACACCAAATTTGGACACAACACACCTGTTAGGCCAACGAGTGATCATCGCTCTGAGTCGCCTTTGGGCTGATCTGAGCGGGGTAGAAATAATGCAAATAATAATAAAAACACTGAAAAACACAGCAGAAGGGACTTAAATAGCCAAAAAATGAAAAATGCATTACAACATATGTGCAAAACCACACACATATATACACAAACATACATATATACACATATACACAAATATATATATATACACACACACATATATATATACACACAAAACACATATACACAGACTGGGCCACAGCAATGCGTGGCAGGGGACGGCTAGTAATAATATAAAATAGAGTTCGTGTGGTATAGGCTTATAGGGGAGAAGCCCCTGGTGGCATAGTGGGTTCAATTGCTGAGTTGCTGAATTTGCTGACTGAAAGGTTGGCAGTTTGAACTCAGGGAGCTTCTACCAACCAAGCAGTTCAAAAACATGAAAATGTGAGTAGATCATTAAATACCACTTCTGCAGGAAGGTAATGGCGCTCCATACACATGAAGCTCTTTTCTAGTATAGTACTTCTAAATCTGAATAGATCAAATGTGAGTAGATCAATAGATACTGCTCCGGCGGGAAGTTAATGGCACTCCATGCAATCATGCCGGCCACAGGACCTTGGGGTGTTTATGGACAATGCTGGCTCTTTGGCTTAGAAATGGAGATGAGAACCACCCCCAGAGTCAGACACCACTAGACTTAATCTCAATGGGAAATCTTTACCTTCTATAGGGGAGGAAGAGGGGGTGGAGAGAGAGTGTCTCGCCATTGCTGAGCATAAGATGGGAAAGGTTATTTGCCTTGTCTGTTTATATTTTATCCCCTCCACACCTGTGCATATTTGAATAAGGAAAAATAGAAATATAGAGAAAGAAATTTGTAGCAGGGGTTTGGAAATGGAGGTGCTTTGGATACACTGTGACTGTCTGAATTGTAGCTTTCCATTTCGTCTGTCGTTCTGGCCTTGGGAAACTACAATTCCCATGGAGATAGAACTAGGTCTCCTTTTTATTAGGGGTGGGGTCGAGGATCCTCGATAACATACCAAGGGACTTATGTAGACCGTATTCAAAACGCATTACAATTATTAAAAATTCAGAAACTCAAACTCATTCTTACCCATGGCTGCTGGAAGGTTTTACAGCGTCGTAAATTAGTTAAATTACCCTCCTCGCATAAAGCGGTAGGTGATAGTATGATAGCTGGGTACGGAAGCGCCGAGTGTTACGCACATTATGCAATGGCAGTAGTGAATGAAGGAAGGGGAGAGCGGCACACTTCGTAGTTGCATTTTGTGGAAGGATAGAGAGGATTAGGGTTACGATAAGGTTTAGGATAAGGGGTAGGGGTAGGATTAGGGTAAGGTTTAGGGTTAGGGTTTGGGTTCGGATTTTACCATTAAAGAACTCTTACATCCTTCTATAATATCTCTGTTGCGTTCTGCTTTGCGCAAACAGAACTCCCGAAGGAGCGAAGTGGAAACAGCGTAACGCTCAGAGCTTCCGGACCCAGCTTTGATTCTATTACCAAGCGATTCCTAACTTTCCTGGAGCCGCTGGTGGCGCAGTGGGTTAAACCCCTGTGCCGGCAGGACTGAAGACCAACAGGTTACAGGTTCGAATCTGGGGAGAGTGCGGATGAGCTCCCTCTGTCAGCTCTATCGGGAAAAAATGAAGCGGGCGGCTCATGTGGGGACATGGGAGTGAGAAGCCTGCCCACATAGAATTCTTTAAAACATCAAACAGTTCTTCGGTCCATCTCCTGTGGGCTTAACGGTCCTTGCAGCGGGTCCATAGTTCTCGATCACACGTGCAGAGAGGCGACTTGCAGTTTCTTCTAAGTTGGCTCCTCGAGCACGCAGGACAAGCACTGACGAGCTGCTAACAGGTTGGCAATGGTTCGATGATGGCATCTGGGGTTGAGTGTGGATGTTAGCTCCCTCATGTTCAGCTCAGCTCCTCGTCCGCAGATACGGGGACATTGAGGTTTAGAAGCCCTGCCACATATAGTGATGGTGACGTACAGTCCCATGTGAGACCTTCTCCCACAAGTGTCCATTGGGCAATGTCTCTGCAGACGGGCCATTCTTTCATACCTGAAGCGACTTGCAGTTTCTCAAGTCGCTTCTGACACGATAACCCCCGGAATTCCCTATGCCCAAACGCTATCCGCCTCAACCCCTCACCCGCCGCCGTTGGCTCCCCGGGAATGCGCTCAGCCCTAGGGAATTTTTCGTCTACTTGAGAAATGCAACTGACTTTCAGGCTGCATAGGTCGACAGCAAACTAGACTATTAATGGTCGAGAGCTCACTCCGACCAGAGCTGGCTTCGAACTCATGAACTCTCGGTCAGTAGTGATTTAATGCAGCTGCGCCACAGCCCGGTCCTTATCGATCCTTCTAGCTTGGGAAACAAAACTGGGCAGAATATACACTTGGCACAGTTTCTCCTCCTAGCATCAACCATTGAAGACGAAATCGTGACCTGGTCCAAAAACACTACAGTTCCCAAGAAGCAGCGCGGCGGCCGCCACCCTCTCCTGCAACATCCTATCGGAAATGCGGAGGTTGCAGAGCAGCCCTGACCTGCTGAGAATGGGATCCCTCCGTGACAGCGGAGGATGATGCAATGGCAAACAAAACCTGCTCCAATAGCAAACTGCCCACCCGCCACCTTATCCTCCCATTGGGCGGAATGGGGGCAAGGCCACGCCCCCTTTAATCGGATTGGCTGAGCTGCGCCTCCTGAGCAGGTTTACCAGGCATAGCCGAGCTCGCCGTTCCCCGCCCCCCAGCAGCAGCCACGTGGGCGCCATCCATCCATCCTCAGGTGGGTGCCTGGGTCGGAGAGTGGGGCGAGGGGCAGTGGGGGTGCAAGACCGGGGTGAGACGCGGACGAGAGGGGACAGGATACGGTGTGGGGCGGGGGGGAAGGAAAGAAGAGACACGGGCAGCAGGGGAAGAAGGGAGTGGGAAGAGGAGGGGGGTGGTTGGCCTCCGTGTATGTGTACATATACATATACATGCACATATATACTCACACATAGCCACACATATGTAAAGCTTGTTTCCAAAGGGTTCCCCCCCCCCCAATGTATTAAAATGAGTTGTAGATGACAACACATGGAATGTGGGATAAAGAGTGCTCAGCCTTAACAGATATGTTTTCTAAGGGATAGCTCACACCTCCTATTACTCTTAGTATACATTACATGCATCATATACATTAGAGCTGGGATGAATTATGGCCCAGCATTACATTGAGCCCTCGATGGCACAGTGCACTGGCAGGACTGCGGCAGTTTGAATCCGGGGTGGGGTAGGGTGAGCTCCCATCTGTCAGCTCCAGCTTCCCATGCAAGGACATGAGAGAAGCCTCCCACAGGATGGTAAAACATCCGGGTGTTCCCTGAGCAAGGTCCTTGCAGATGGCCAATTCTCTCACACCAGAAGCAACTTGTAGTTTCTCAAGTCACTTCTGACACCAAAAAATAGTAACATAGAGTCTTTTTAGGCATGGGAAGTTCAGAGGCGTTTTTGCCAGGGAGTTGGCAATGAGAGGTTGAGGGGAACAATACAGTCAGCATCTTGAGTAGTTTCAAAACTGAGGTGCTCACTACAGCTATGCAGCTTTGTTGGTGGTTTCCATAAATCCAAGCAGGGTCTGAAGGTGAATGGTGGGTGCTCAGTACAACATAGGCTGCCTGTCTATAATGATGTCACTTGTTATTTTTTTTCTCTTTTATTCCCAGGAATAAAAGTCACTTCTTATCAGCTGCTGACACCATGAGTGTGGGCTTCATTGGCGCTGGGCAGCTGGCCTTCTCTCTGGCCCGAGGTTTCACTGCAGCAGGTAGGCGAGCGCACAGTTGTACCATTATCACACAGTAGACTAATCTGCATAGAGAAATAGTACTGCCCCTGTTTACCTGGGCTTAGAGCTACTGTTGTATCTGACTTCCCTCTGAAGAGAACAGTCTCAGAGTCTATGGCTGGGTCTATACTGCATTTTATGGCATTATAGATGCAGCCTACATGACATTGGTACATCACAAAACCATCCCAAATTATACCATTGATAATGTCCATTCTTAGGACCCCCCAGTGGCACAGTGGGTTAAACTGTTGAGCTACTCAACTTGCTGACCAAAAGGTTGGTGGTTCAAATCCGGGGAGTGGAGTTAGCTCCCACTGTTAGGCCCAGCTCCTGCCATCCTAGCAGTTCCAAAATATGCAAATGTTAGTAGATCAATAGGTACTGCTTCTGCAGGAAGGTAACGGCACTCCATGCGGTCATGCTGGCCACATGACCTTGGAGGTGTCTACAAACAGTGCTGGCTCTTCGGCCTAGAAATGGAGAAGAGCACCACCCCCAGAGTTGGACATGACTGGACTTAATGTCAAGAGGAAACCTTTATCTTTACTCAATGTCAATTCTGCACTTAACTACCTGTAACTTGATCCCTCCATGTAAGCCTACAAAAAATATTTGAAATTATAATCATGGTAGCTTCTGCAAATGTACATCTCTCTGCACTGCTCAGAAGACAGTTCACGTTTCTTGGGTACAGCCTATCTATGTGTATGCATATTCAGAACTGGAGCCACCAGTGGCACAGTGGGTTAAACTCCTGTGCTGGCAGGACTGGAGATCGACAGGTCAGAGGCTTGAATCCAGGGAGAGTGTGGATGAGCTCCCTCTGTCAGCTCCAGCTCCTCATGCAGGGACATGAGAGAAGCTTCCCACAAGGATGATAAAACATCAAAACATCCAGGCGTCCCCTGGGCAACGTCCTTGAAGACGGCCAATTCTCTCACACCAGAAGTGACTTACCATTTCTCAAGTACATCATTCCTAATAACTAGCTACCCTCTCCTGAATAACCTGTTCTGCAACAGAATATACCCATTGTTGCAAAAATGCTAATTGCTGAGAAACAAAGGCAGGTCAAACTGTCTGTTCCTCTTGCATTTTAAAGTCCTCCTTGCATTCATTACCACAATCTAGGACCCAGTTCTAAGAGCGACATTTTCAAATACTTTTAGTGGTTAATATAGAGAGGAACATTTCAGCTGCTCCGTCATACAAAAATTTTTAGGAGTAAAAATGGAAAGTCACACTAAATAAATACAGGAAAAACCCATTCAGTAAATATTAAAAAGACAACGTAGCTCTTCCTGTAGTTTTTGGAAGTACCTCCAAGGATGTACCTCCAAGGATGTATCTCTCTGTGAAAATATTTGGGACCCCTGAATGTTTATGCTGTACTCAATCATTCTTCAGCTAGAAAACTCTGGGCCCTCTTCCACACAGCTGAATGAAATCCCACGTTATCTGCTTTGAACTGGAATATGTGGCAAGGTGGACTCAGATACCCCAGTTCAAAGCAGATATTGTGGGATTTTCTGCCTTGATATTCTGGGTTATATGACTGTGTGGAAGGGCCCTGTGAAAGAAAATGAGAACCAGACTTCTAGGTAAGTGGAGGAATTGGGCTGAAGTGGGAAGTCATATCCAATAACTGGGCAGACCTGCTCAATTGCAGAGGGAAGAGGATGTGATCAACTACTTTTTCTCTCTTTTCAGGGATCTTGGCAGCTCATAAGATTACGGCAAGTGCACCAGATACAGATTTGCCAACAGTATCTGGGCTGAGGGTAGGTTCCAGGACCTGAAAAATCTAAAAGGTCTCTTTTGCACTCATAAAAACCCCATGCAAATTTGAACATGTTTCTTAAGTATTGTGCAATTCTTCTCAACTCGAGTTGAACTCCTGAAATAGATTTGTAGGATTGAAAAGTGAGAACTCATTTACATACAAATCCATGTAACTTTAAACTGATTGTCCCATTTAAGCTTTAGTGAAACTTGGGAAGTGCATGCTAGGAGGGGCATTTCTCCCCCTGTGGCATTTAAAGTAATGCTCTATGTGTATTTATTCTTTTGTGGTGTTTCAAATACATACATTCCCTCATAAACTCCCATTTGAGTCTCTGGGAGAGAAAAAACATACTTGTCATGTGGGGACATGTTGGGCAGAACTACAACCAGCCATGCAGTTTGCTCTCCATCTGTGCTTTCCTCTGTCAGTATCCATGTCTCATGTAAAGGTTAAAGTCCTGAAGGCTTGAAGGCTATTGACATATTGTGTACCAAGTTCATGTTTCTGAGGTTTCCAGTAAGTATGATCATATCCAGCTCCTTCTTGACTTCGCACGCCTGATCGATTTGCCCTTGGTGTTGAAAAAACAGAGTGGGATGCTTCACCAGCTGCTATCCATCTTATTTCCAGAAAATAGGTGTGAATTTTACCCTAAGCAACAAAGAGACAGTTAAAAACAGCGACGTCCTGTTCCTGGCAGTGAAACCTCCCATAATTCCATTCATCCTGGATGAGATTGGCTCTGACATAGAGGACCGGCACATTGTGGTTTCATGTGCTGCTGGCGTCACTATCAGCTCTATTGAGAAGGTGAGAGCATCATACAGCATTCATTCCTAGCAGTTGGTTTCAAGGAAATGCTCACTGTGGGTCAAGGGCCAGTGGACCCTTCTGAAGGTTGGACTGGAAATAAACAGCAACAGTTCTGCGTGTTTGCATGATGTACTCCATTTAGAAAGAAGGGCAGGGGACTTCACTGTGCACAGAACTTGAAAACGTTTAGAAAAATTACTTTTTAGACCACTGCCTCTTAAACTGTGGGTTTAAGAATGTGTTCCCCTTCATGTTGGGGGCATGAAGAATTTGGCCACAGTAAAAGGTTTCTGAACGCTACCCATTTGGACAGCAACATCTGTTAGCAACATCATGCAGTGTTTACAGTGGACTCTGCAGAAGATGCTTCAGCTATACTCCACAAAAAGGAAAATCAGTCTGTTTAGCAAGCCTTGCAAATGTTTATTTATTATCAATAAAAGTTGGTTTTAATGCATATTTTACATATCTATATGCTTGGGGTCACATAAACATTTCTCAGGCAGAAAGGGGTAATGAGTGGAAAAGGTTTAAGAGGCCTCTCATAGATTACAGCTTCCAGAACATCCCCCAGAAAAATCAGTAATCATCCTTTAGGCTGGTCATCCTAAAACTGAATTACTGCTCATAGCTAGAATGATAATAATGTATTGTCGAAGGCTTTCATGGCTGGAATCACTAGGTTCTTGTGGGTTTTTTCGGGCTATAGAGCCATGTTCTAGAGGCATTTCTCCTGACGTTTCGCCTGCATCTATGGCAAGCATCCTCAGAGGTGTGAGGTCTGTTGGAAATAGGAAAATGGGTTTATATATCCTTGCCCCACCCCAGCCATTCCACAGATATATAAACCCATTTTTCCTACTTCCAACAGACCTCACACCTCTGAGGATGCTTGCCATAGATGCAGGCGAAACGTCAGGAGAAATGCCTCTAGAACATGGCTCTATAGCCCGAAAAAACCCACAAGAACCTAATGATAATAATCTTCATTCACTTTCAGGAATGAAATTCTTAAATTCTTGTGCCTGTTAAGAGAAACTTGAAAGTGTCCTAACAGCATTCGCGCCGTGGTAATCAAATCAGGACCTTAATCAAAACAATTGCCTATATTTTCTTGTATATGATTATTCTGAAGTATAATTTAACCACTTCGAAAAATTTGAGTACTTAAGGTTAGGTTATTTAGATGAATCACTATTATTATGTTTATTTATTCCCTGCTTTTCCTTTCTACAAAAAAGCCTCAGATTGGCTTATAGTAAAACCAATGCAATACAATATAAAATCTAAAAATATACAAACATTAAAATAGAATTAAATATTTGCAGTATTAAAACAAAGAGTTAAAACTCTTGAAACTGATTGCAAACCTATTCATAGTTAAAACCACATCACCCCCTGACAGACAGCTTATCAGAACTTAGACATATTACCTGAAAATGAAATGGAAAACTGTTCAATATTGTAGAAGAAGTGCAAATATTGACCTGCTCTGACCAGGGATTGTCTGTGTCAGAGGAAACGTTACGCAAAGTATTTGAATGTAAAATTAGCTTCCCTGAAGTAGACCTTACCCATTTATTTACTTACCTCATTTATATCCTGCCCTCCTCACCCCGAAGGGGACTCAGGGTGGCTCACAACAAAGGCACAATTTGATGACTTAAATACATATAAAAATACAATATTATTTAAAATCACATAATTAAAAATACTAATTAAACAATTACTTTAAATCAAACAATCCAAAAACATATACAGTATATGCTGCATTGGTTCTTAGGCTGCCTACAAATTATGAGCAATGAGAGACTTATAGCCAAGGAGGTCTGTTGCTCAATGCTTGGTCCTGACTGGCTTGCCCATATACTTAGTCCTTAGCATCCATTGGGGTTTGTTTCCAGGAATTCCCATAGATATCAAAATTCATAGATGTTCAAGTCCCATTATATACAATGACATAGGAAAGTGAGATCCCTTATATAAAATGGTAAAATTAAGTGTTGCTTTTTGGAATTTCAAAATTATTTTCAAGTGGATGGTTGAATCTATGCATGCAGAACCCATGAACGTGGAGAACCAACTGTACTTCATATGCCCACCCTGTGTTTTAATTGGTACTCTGGGTAATGGTTTTTCAAGTAATGTAAGAATAAGTAAAAACACTAATCTTGTTGGAGCCTTAACTATTAGTGTTTGTAGCTGTTGACTTACAGTATCTTCCACTACTGTTGGAAGTTGCTCAAGCACTGACCAGTGCCACCCTGTGGACACTTTCCTAAATTCATGAATCTATATGCAATCTTGCTGATTTTCAGCCTTTGTCTTTCTGGTTTCAAACCTCATTGTGAGGTATTTATTTATTAAAATAAGCCCTATATCACAAGATTTCAGGGTGGCATACAAGTAAAATCAATATAAGCATGTTTAATAGAAGTCAACTAAAATGTGTTATTGATCTTAACAAGTTAAAACAGGCATAAACAGTTTAAATCCATGTGAATAATAATTTTAAAGGCTTTAAGAAGGTTTTTATGTGGCATCTACATCAAGCGTTGTCACCAGTCATGCCTCCAAGCAGAGAATAGTAGTTGCCCTCTGGACTGTTCTTGGTCTGTGGCTCTCAATAAGTTCAGCAGCAAGGCTTGTGATCCAGGAGGATCACAAGTTCTCCTCTACTTCACCAGAAAGTATATATATAATAGGAATGAGGAATGCTCCATCCCAATTATCTACAGACATTAAATTGAAGTGATGGAACGGGGATGGTCAGAAGATCACTTGGGAACTAGTCACACCTCACAGGGTTTTTTCCCAGTAAATCAGTGAGGATTTCTGGATTTCAGTTGTCTATTGGTAGCAACAACTATGAGCCATTTTCATATACTAAAATTAGATTGCTGAAAAAAGAATTGGAGGGAAAACAGGATTGGATTTGTGTTAGTGCTACTTGCTACATAAGAGTTGATGTTAGATGTAACCTGCAAGATAAATGTGTTCCTTTGTTTCTCCTCTCTCACTTCTCAAGAAACTCTCTGCCTTCTGCCCCACCCCAAAAGTGATCAGGTGCATGACCAATACACCAGTGATCGTCCGTGAAGGGGCCACAGTCTATGCCACAGGGACACATGCTGAGGTGGAAGATGGAAAGCTCCTGGAACAACTGATGGCGAGTGTGGGCTTCTGCACTGAGGTGGAGGAAGACTTGATAGATGCTGTTACTGGACTCAGTGGAAGTGGACCTGCTTATGTATGTGCCAATAAGGAGTTTCTTTATTCTTTTATTGCTTTCATTGTCAAAAGTAACATACATCAAATATAGAAAAGGGGTTAGAAGTATATACAGGTCTGGCTTCCCTTATCCACAATGCTTAAGACCAGAAATGTTCTGGATTTTGGACTTTTTCAGATTTTGAAATACCCCTATTTACATATACAGTTATTGTCAGTCTCTTTTCACCACCTGCTTCTGTCTTTGAGAAGGAAACTGCAGTGTTCCTGCTAAATTGTAGATCTAAAGTCTCCTTCCAGAATCTCCTGTCACATGTAACATAAGTAGCAAACAAACAAGGTGCCAGGCTGGAGAGGGACTAAGGATCCAAGAGATGCACAAGCAGGAGCTCCGCAGCCACTGCCTGGGAGATAGAAGTAACTCGTGGCAAAAAGTTTTAGGTTTTGGAGGTTTTCAGGTTTCCCAATAAGGGAGGTTCAGCCTGCAGAGTTTTTACACAAGTCAGATGGGACAGCAGGAATTCTGCAAAAGCTTAATAGTGACATGCATCAATTTTGTAATTATTATTTTAATTATTATTTACTGTGTTTTTAACCTGCCCTTCTCACCCCAAAGGGGACTCAGAGCAGCTTTACAATAGGCAACAATTTAATGCCACATAAAACAAACCTATAATAAAATAAACATATACAGTAAAAACATAAAATTAAAAAGCATATAAACATTAAAACCAGTTGTTAAAAAGACTGACACAATCAGAAAATCATTGTTAAGGAGTCGTTCGAGACATGATTGCACATATTCCATCTTCACTTATTGCATTAGAGTTGGCCATTGGGAAGCTGTGAGTGCCTGCTGGATAGATGTTAATTTAATGGACTTCAGTAGATTTAGATGGAACTGATCTCCAAGGTGTGGTTGATTTGCTCTTCTGCTCAGTGTGGAACAGCTTGTGTGCACAGTTGACCCTTGGGGATGGGGAAACCTTTCTTTCCTTTGAGTGCCCATCCTGAATTGGTTGGAGAGAAGAGTGGGCAACTGGGAAAAAATTGTTCTCTGCAGTATGTGTCAAGCATTATTCTATCCCCCTCTGGCTTTATTTTCCTGTGATCTTTTGGACTTCTAGGCATTCACAGCCCTGGATGCCTTGGCAGATGGAGGGGTGAAGATGGGCCTTCCTCGCAGACTGGCTGTACGGTTGGGAGCTCAGGCATTGCTGGTCAGTGTGTGTCATTTAATTTGTTTCAAAACATTTGAAATGCCATGTGATGTGGCTGTAAAGAATTAAGAGCTTAGGCAGGCAAAGATGCAGAGTCCGATCTTAAAAATCACAAGACGTTTATTTACATTAATAAAAAAATAATAACTACATTTCTTAATAGTAAATAACTGGGTTTGAGTTACTCTAACACCCATCTCTTCTAAGGTTTAGAGAGAGGAAAAAATGCACCAAGCACTCAGTCTCTCTGATACACATGCATAGAGATCTTATTATACATGTTGCACTCCAGAGCAGGATCCCCTCTGACTTTAAAACCACATGGTTGAGTTAAAATAGCAAGCAGTTTATTGAAGGTAATAAAAGCCAAAGCAAGAAAAATCAATCCACAGTAAAAAGGTAAATCCAATTGATTAGGAAGAAAAAAGGAACAATTAGTCCAAAGAGAAATAGTCCAAAGAAGTCCATGAAACTAGATGCTTGATTTCAAAGGCAAATAACAGCAAAGGCACTTAAAACAGGAATCAAACAAAGACAAGGGTCCAGGAATTTGGCATGAAGAATTTAGCGTGAATCCAACGTTGTTCATCTGAAGCTAGATTCTGTACTTGGCACTTATATCCCTGCCCTATTTCCCAAACAGCTAAGAATGGATTTTTCCTTAACTTTGGTTTCACTTCTAACTTCTGCTATAATCTGGCTGAGTGCCGTAATTGCTGGTTTGTTTGTCTTTGCTGGCTAAAAACATTTCTTCTGTTCAAGACTTCATTAAAATCTGCACCTGGAGATAACGGACCAGGGGACTGTGGCGCAGAGCCTTTCCCAGGCTCAAGACCTTGAGAATCCTCTTGCAGCAAAACAGGCTTCACTGACCCATCATGTGAACTGTATTCCAGCCCCACATCTCTACAACCAGGCCCAGGAAACAGACCATCATCCCCATTCCCTTCAGGAACATCTTCATGAACACCCATTGCAATCAGAGGAATCAACTTGAACATGAACAACATTGTCATTTCCATCATCCAAAGCAACCTGATAATTAGACACAATCGCTGGCGTACAACAATACATAGCACACTAAGATGTAAAAGTCAGAAAGGCTTGCAGTAGAAAAGTATCCACTCTACATAACCAGTCAGAATGAGAGTAGATAGAGAGGAGAAAAGAAATAGATACATTCCAACTGTCATTCAGGAGACGGGGAAGGGAATCCCTAAGCTAACTAAACTGTTCCTCATTAAGGACTGGAAACTTGAGTAGTGTGTGGTTGAATCCCAACAAAAACCACAGACCTGTTCTCAGGATGTAGTGGCAGATAATGTCATGGCACTCAACAGCAGCATGTCGCAGAATGGTTTGTACACAGCAGGTCTGTGACCACGTGTGATCTAGCGTTGTTGGGTTTAACAACGACCATAATTTTGAAGAATGGATGAGCATACACAATTTTTCAAGATATGCAACAGCAATGGGATATGAAAAATACTACTGTACTGTATTGCAGACATTCATAAGTGAAGGAAATGCTAGATTTCAGTTGAAGGTCAGAGAAACTATTTTTTTTTTCAATTCAAGCTCATGGACCCAAAGGGTCCGTGAAGCACTGATTAAGAGCCCTGTTCTAAAGAGTATTTTACTCCTATGATAATGTTGCAGGGAGCTGCCAAGATGCTGTTGGAATCAGAGCAGCACCCAGGACAACTGAAGGACAACGTCTGTTCCCCGGGGGGTGCTACCATCTATGCCGTGCACTTCCTGGAGAGCGGGGGTTTCCGCTCACTCCTCATCAATGCCGTGGAGGCATCCTGCATCAGGACAAGGTGCGTATCGGGAGGTGAGGAGCAGTCCTTTCTTAGCTGTGTCCTCTGAGCTTCTCATGAATCTTCTCCTTCCTAACAGGGAGCTGCAGTGCTTGGCTGATCAGGAGAAGGTTTCCCCTGCTGCTATTAAGAAGACCTTGATGGATAAAGTAAAGCTAGAGTCTTCCTCTGCCAACAAGGTCAACCTATTCAACAAGAACCCTGGCAGTAAGAAGTATTAAGGAGACCCTGTTGTGGCCTGGCCACACTTTTCTTTCTTTTCAACGGAATCTTTAGCTCATGCCATTTGGGGGCAGTGGGAGGGAGGAATATCCTGGACTCAAGGCCGTCAGAGAAAGGAACTTCCATTTTTCTGGTTAGATTCTTTGAGATCAGCAGTTTGCGGGGGGATGCAAGTGGAGCAGAATCATCAGCCCATTCTTTTGAGTGGGCAGAAACTCTCAACTTCACCACTGTCTCTTCCATAGCTGTTGCAGGATTAATATTAACTACATTTTATTCTGATTTTCTTCCACTGAGGTCCTATGTTACGTCTCCTCACAACAGCTTTGTGAGGTAGTTTAGCCCTGCAACACAATGGCTGGTTCCAGTGAACTTTCTTATTAGCCTACTACACACTGCTGTCAGCCTGTGCCTATTTCCTGTGATGTTTTTATGTGATCAGAGGCTGGAGTCCCAAACCTTATTCTCATCACAGAGTGGCTACATCCAGTCTGCAGGACATTCTGGATTGGGGGTGGGCAGAGCTTGGAACTGTTTTTATTAACACAAAGATATATTAAATTCGAAACAGATTTGGCAGTTTTAATAGTGGGGTTGCACAGGTTGAGTATCCCTTGTCAGAAATGTGTGGACCAGAACTGTTTTGGATTTTGGAATACAGTAGAGTCTCGCTTATCAACATAAACGGGCCAGCAGAACGTTGGATAAGTGTAAATGTTGGATAATAAGGAGGGATTAAGGAAGCCTATTAAACATCAAATTACATCATGATTTTACAAATTAAGCACCAAAACACCATGTTTTACAACAAATCGACAGAAAAAGTCTTTCAATACATCGTAACGTTATGTAGTAATTACTGTATTTATGAATGTAGATGTACCGGGCAGGAGACAGACTGCGTTGGATAATATCGAATGTTGGATGAGCAAAGGTTGGATAAGCGAGACTCTACTGTATTTGCATTTGAGTACACACATATGTAACACGATACCGTTTAGATGGCACCCAGGTCTAAACATTTATTTTTCAGATATCTTATATACATAGCCTGAATGTAAATTTTATACATTATGTTTTTAATAATTTGGTACACATTGAACCATGAGAAAGTAAAAATGCCGCTACCTCAGTCAACCCATTTTTGGAGTATTTCAGAATTCTGGACAAGGGATGCTCTGCTTGTAATTACTTACATCTACCTGTAATTACTTACATCTTCGGCATCAGAAAAAATATATAAAATTGCTTTTAAATTTGAAGAACCTGTCAAAATCTCTAAAGCTTGCCAATCCCTAAAAATCTTTTACAAGGTAATTAATTAAAATAAGTCAATTTTTATTCAAGATATTAACATTGTTATTCAACAACTTAATGACTTTTTAAAACCCCTCAATGAATTGATTCCAAGCTCTGCATAGGGCTGCATTCATTTTTTTATTCTTATTACATAGCATATTGCTCCCATTCCCCGTGTATTGCTATTTCTGCTTTGCCCAGCTGTATCAGAAATCACAGATATCCTGGATTGAACAGCACTTTGCATGCTGCCCACTATTGTAAAAAAAAAAAAAATCTCAACGTTTTTCTCCTTTCTCTCATCTTCAGTTACTTGACATCTAAAATAGGTACTCAAATACATTTATCTTATGCTGTACACCAGTGGTTCCTAATCTGTAGTCTGTGGACCACTAGTGGTCCTCAAGAACTAAAATATGGTCCGCAACAACTAAAATTTGGTCCACGTCCTCACCATTACTACACTGTTGCAACAAGAGCAACTGGTCTTTTGAAACCCTTTTATAGTGCCAAGGCTTATTAAACATGATTTTCTGTGGGCGAGCAGATGGCGTATGTTGCGTATCAGAAACTAGAGCTGATGTGGTCTATCCAATGCTATTTTCTGAGTCAGCACCCCAGATAACCAAACTGAATCCAAACTTGACCAAAAACTGATTCATATTCCTTTTGGTACTAATGTTGGAGAGTGGTCCCTGGTCAAAAAAAGCTTGGGAACCACTGCTTTAAACCAAAGGGGGAGGAGAAAGCCTTTCATATTAGCAATAGCTCAGCTCAGGAGTATAGGAAGGTTTTACATCTGCCTCCACTAGGTCACATTATTTGCCAATCTAGCTTAGCATTGTCTGTTTTGATTGGCAGTCACATTCTCAGCTCTCAGGGGGCAGAAATTCATCCTCTGTCTCCTGCTTACCAGTTCTTTCACTACAACATGTCAGTGGCATCATCACTTATTGTCACATCTTAACAGTGTAGGTTTAGAGATGGCTTTGAAATGTACCCAAAATGTGTTCAGATCACATAATTAATGTGAGAGTTTCCTCTTATGATCAGTTCTGATTTGTATTTAGGGTAGAGCAATTTAATAGGTCACCCTTTGTTGACAAGAGAAGAAGTATCAGCAATAACCTCTTACGATGTGTATAAGTGTCATCAAGTCACCTGTTGACTTGGTGATCGCACAGATTTAATAGGATTTTCTTAGCTGGTTTGCCTGTTCCTTCTTCTGAACTATAGCCTACAGCACCCCACGTATATTAGTAGTCTCCCCTCCAAGTACTAACCAGAGCTAGGCCTGCTTAGCTTCCAAGACCAGATAGGATCTGGTGCCTAGGGTATTTAGACCCTGCAACTGTTATGACACAAACATGAAAAAAAAATTTATAGTTGCAATCACGACAGACTCTGCTATGGAATTTCATTTGCAACATCTCTCTACTACCATTTTTACAAGAAGTCCTGAGACCTTAAGCTTGTTGAAGGCTTTACAATGACCAAAGACATCAAGAGTTCCAGGTAGGCAGAAAATCTGAGGTGCTTAATAGGGCAAGATACTGGAAAGAAGACTCCAAAGGACTTGCTTCCCAAAGTCATTGTTTAAACCTATCCAGTCTCTCAGTGCTTCTTAAAGAGATCTAGTGTATCTGGAAGATTATGGGAGCTGTCATCCAAAAGAGTAACTTTTCTAAACTCTGCTTTTTGATGAGAACAAAACCATTTTTCCTGTGCTGAAGGAAGCAGAACTAAGGAGTGCAGAGATTGCTGTTGATGCCACAGATATAGTGGCAACATCCCAGTAGGGTTACCATATGGAGAGAGGAATACAACATCAGCCTTGTTAAGGATTGTGTAGAAGGGGAAAATTCAGCAGCTCTGTCCCTTATTTCACTTGGCAACTCTACATCCCACGTAGGATTGTTTGTCATTGAACAAATCCTGTTACATACTTTTTTCATGTCAAGAGTGACTTGAGAAACTGCAAGTCACTTGTGGTGTGAGAGAATTGGCCGTTTGCCTGGATGTTTTGCCATCCTGTGGGAGGCTTCTCTCATGTCTCCACACGAGAAGCTGGAGCTGACAGATGGGAGCTCACCCCAGATTTGAAGTGCTTTCTTTTTGATCAGCAGTCCTTCCAGCACAAGAGTTTTAACCCATTGTGCCACTGGGGGCTCAGTTACACACACATTGACTGTTAACATTTTCTTAGATGAACTGCAAACCCACCCCCTGCCTTTTGTATGTAATGTGGCATTTTCTTATTTATCCTTTTTATATGGCTCTCTATATGTTTTTGGACTGTAGCCTCCATAATCCCTTGTCAGTTATCATGGCTGATGGGAGTTGTATGCCAGAAACATTTTGTCCCAGTTCAGTATATGAGTGAGGTTTGCGTTCATTTCCCCTCCCTGCTCTTCTTTCTTAGATGAAAGAATTTCAGAGGCATCTACTTTTGCTTTTAGACAAGCCGCAGTTCCCCACTGCATTCATCTGTGGTTTTCCATTATAACTGAACTGGAGCACTCTTTCCACTTTGCATTCACCTGCTTCTTACTGCTCCACATAGCTTTGCAAAAGCTTGGGGGGGGGGGGGGAATGTTGTACACAGATAAAAAGTAAACACATATAACTATGCATACTCATTGGAAAACATTTGTTATTCAGTACCCTTGCTTGTTACTATTTACTACTTATTTGCTTCTTTGCTTCTCCCATGTTGCTATATACCAGTGAATGGAACAAGGGAACAGGCTGAAGGTGGAGAAGAAATAAAACATCCCATGGCACTATTCACAGATTGTCCAGGATACTTTTGAATTCAAACCATACTGAGTATCCTCCATGTAACTAAGGTTATCTCAGGCCTATGTGAACTGAAATGCATTGTTGTATTTATTGCTTGAAAAGACCATTTAAAGCACTTAACAATTGGTTTCTTGCTTAGACTGGATGGATTTCCCGATTCTTTCTTCAAAAATGTTCATATGGGTGCCCTATGTCTCCCTCCCCTCCCCCAAAAATCTTCTCTGGACAATAAACTCTACTTTTTAACTTGAGATTTGGTGTGTAGGTTGTGTTTTATCACCACCGGAAGAATTAAAACCTCTCCTCAGCTGTGTCCGACTAGTCCTTTCCCTGGGAACTTTACTCAGGACAGATTGGGATTAGTTTAAGCGTTCTTTTTGGGGGGGGGGGAAAGATGGGGTGTCTTTTAAAAAACAGATGAATGGTGTTTGGAAATAATAAATATATGGAGTAATATTTCTCTTAGGATTGTCAACTTATAACAATTTGTATGGAGAGGTCAACAGGGCTAATACTCTTAATTTTATATACAGAACTGAAATACATTGGTGTTTTTCTCTGAATGTATAATCCTTAGCTTTGCTGTACTCAGCTGGGGGGGGGGGTGCCTTTTCACTTAATTGTATATTGTTAAAAATATGTATTTATCTTTGAGAAAATGTTGAGGTCTGAAAAGAGTGCAATTTGTTAACTATTACGTCTTGTAATACAGTAGAGTCTCGCTTATCCGACCTTCACTTATCCGACATTCCATCTTATCCGACACTCTTATCCAACTTCCCCCTTTTCCTTTAGCATTTCACCTTCAATTAAAGGAGCGCTTCCCATTCCCAATAAGTGAAAAAGGCGAGGAGGAGGAGGGAGGAAAAGGAGAAAAGAGGCAGGACCAGAAGCGGAAGCATCCTCCCTCCTTTCCATGCTCCTCTTCTGCATCCGGCCACTTCCTGCTGGACTGCTTTAGCCCTGAGACGTTGCCTTGCCTTAACCCTTTGAGTCCCTGTTGTTACTATTCTAAGTATCCAGCGACACGTCGTACGGGTAACGGTAGGAGACTATGCATTATTCAACATTTTCGTTTATCCGATGTTCTGCTGGCCCGTTTATGTCAGATAAGTGAGACTCTACTGTATATACAAAATAATTGTGTGGAAAAGTAAGACCTCCTGTGTCTCCAATTCATAAGACATGATTCAGGGCTACAATCTAACAAAGAATTCAGCTCACGAAAGCTGCATCTCTGTAACATCACTTGTCCTTCTTCAGTGGTCATTTACAAACATTGGAATCATGTGTAATTAGTTTGTTTTAGTGCAACCAGTTGTACTGACAATGAAAGGACAGTAAGATAGCTTCATGGAATTTGAATGCACTATATTTGATTTGTTCTAATTTCTGGGCCGGCTGCATCCACATTGAATACTCTTTGGATCTGGTTTTCATTATACCTTCTAATTTCACTGCTCACCACATTTTATGTTCATATATCACAGGCTAAAAAACTGGTGCTCCCCTTGTAGAAGGTTTTTACAAGACCTGCACTCAAATACTGTTTCTTGGCAGGTAGCAATCCGAAAAGCTTGCTGTATAAAACTTGATAAAATTGTTAAGAAAGGTACAGATCTTCAGTGTTGTCATGGCTTGTGAGGAAAAATGAATGCGGTTGTGACAGAATGAGAACAGGGTGTGTTTTAGGAGCAGCTCTTACATTTCTGGTGTATGTAATTATTGCAGTGCATTGGTAAGATGAACACTCTGCACTGGAATTTCCCCATACTTGGCTTATAATATAGATAGGTGTCTAATGCATTCAGGACAAAAACTAGAAATACAAATAAACTTTTAAAGGGACTGTGGATTAATCTAGCAAAAGAATAGGAATGAATATTGGTGTAAAAAAGTATGAAGGCGTGGAACATTAATGATATGTCTATATAATTAGATAATATGCTATCTGTGCCATTTTTGTCCTTTCTTGGGACCTTCTTTTCATAGGTATCCTTATCTCTCTTTTCTGCTGCTCACAAATAAATCCACACCTTGTTCCTGTGCTACCAAGGGCCCTTCCACACAGCCATATAACCCAGTATATCAAGGCAGAAAATCCCACAATATCTGCTTTGAACTGTGGTATTTGAGTCCACACTGCCATATATTCCAGTTCAAAGCAGATAATGTGGGATTTTATTCAGCTGTATGGAAGGAGCCCCACTTTGATGGGCAAAAGGAATTAGCTACCATCTATATTTTAGCTTTTATCAACATTTTAAGCAAGTTAGGACAAACCTGCCCTAACTTAGGGGGGTCTGCACAATGGAAGCAGTTTGTTTTCGTGCCATAAATTACTCAGTAAAATATCTTAGCAAGATTAAAAAAAAACATCCTCATCATACTGCTTCTCATTTTAATATGTTCCTAAACTTTCCTTTGATGCAACTTTGCTACTCCATTCCTGCTCCTGGTGTGTGACACACTTCTTAGATGAGACTTGCAGGAAGTATTTCATTAATCAGTTACAGAAGAAAAACTCATACCAAACTACTAAAACTGTCCAGGGAAAAGTGTGTAAAATAATAAAATCTGAAACAGATGGCAGCACTGAATCATTATTAGCAATAGCACTAGAGAAGATCAAGGTTTGCAAGATATAAGTATGGCATGGACGCAGACATAAAAAGACATAATAATAATAATAATAACACTTTATTTGTATCCCGCTACCATCTCCCCAGGGGACTCGGTGCGGCTTACATGAGGCCGAGCCCAAATACAACAATACAAGCAATAAAATAACAATACAAGTAATTAATAAAAAAACACATAGACAATAAAAATACAACATTATTAATAAGACAACACACAATTAAAAACAGTGGGAAGACCAAATGTAAAATTAAAAATTAAAATTGGAAGTGATGCTGGGACATAAAAATCATCAGATGGCAACATTTGCCCCAATGTGCTTGGGAAAGGCTACAGATTTCTGTTCTTTTTCCCAGTAAAAGAAATAATGGAGGGCAGACTGCTTAGAACTGCCTTTCAAAAATTATTCAGTGTGCCTGACTTAGGGAGAAAAAAGAACAAAACTAGTAGTTGTATTTAACAGTCTCAGCACCAAACTACCAAAAATGGATGGTAAATGTAGATAGCAAAATGAATGGCTGTTCCTATTCTTGTGACGTTAAATTATTTCTATGATTGGAACTACTTAACCTTATGATCCATATATGTGTGTGTGTGTATATATATATATATATATAGGGGTGGTGTATGTATACACACGCACACATACAAATGCAGCAAAGAAAAGGAAAGTTGCATTGTATGGTCACTGTTTCCATGAGACACTGAATTTCCTAGGTAGTTATTGCAGTCGCTATTTCTGTGGCGTATTTGCATAGAATTTCAACATATAATGATAGGCAGAATTATTGAAGGCACAAATGATCCATCCAAGTATGAAGAACAGCAAAAGCACCTACCTTAAATCACACTATTGTTTGCTGTAGGACAAATGCCATCTTCATGTACCTTTAGCTACAACATGCATGCATTCACCAGAACATTTATCCATTCCTGAGCAAAGGTCAGCTGCTCTTATCTATCTAGTGAAAGGACAAAGTGCTTCCCTACCCTTCCTTTTGCGTTACTTCAGGATGATCTTTAGAAAGAAAGAGGCACTATAGTTTATTTATTTATCGTGTCAGGAGCAAACCAAAACAGTTGTATTGCATTAAAAAAAAAACACAAAGTTGGCAGACTAGGTATTCTAATAAATGTCCTTTGACCAGCAGCTGGCCACTTGGAGTGCCTCTCCAAGTGTTGCAAGAAGGTCCTTCATTGTGCATGTGGCAGGGCTCAGGGTGCATCGCAGTAGGTGGTCTGCGGTTTGCTTTTTCTCCCTAAGTAAGATACAGGGTCTTGCTTTCCCAAAATAGGGTGCTTTCTCCAGGTTTTCTTTTAAAACTGGGAGTGATGTAAAAGCTAGAGAACTCTGATGGCAGAAGTTACAGAAAGGCACAGAACATACACTAGACTTTAAGATACATCATTTTTGCATAGAATAACCAACAAATCCTTTGCACGGGAGAGAAAAGGGAGTTTGTGAGGGGTTATGGCGATAATTCTGTATCACTTGAGACACAAGGAGTATCTCAGTTTTGAACATCAATTTAACATGATTGCCAAAGTTGCAATAGTGAATGCCCGCTCTATATAGAAAAATCTGATGTTGGATGCCAACTTGTCAACAGCCCACATAGTTAATGGCCAGGTTTGATAAAAGCCGCCATCCAACGACATGTGGAAGGCTCCAGGTCCTCCATCTCTTCTTTACATGCTTCAGGACAAAGGTAAAGGTAAAGGTTTCCCCCTGACATTAAGTCTAGTTGTGTTCGACTCTGGGGAGTGATGCCCATCTCCATTTCTAAGCTGAAGAGGTGGCATTGTCCATAGGCATCTCCAAGGTCATGTGGCTGGCATGACTGCATGGAGTGCCATTACTTTCCGGCCAAAGCGGTACCTATTGATCTACTCATGTTTGCATGTTTTTGAACTGCTAGGTTGGCAGAAACTGGGCCTAACAACTGGGAGCTCTCCCCATCCCATAGATTTGAACTACTGACCTTCTGGTCGACAAGTTCAGCAACTCAGTGGTTTACCCTGCTGTGCCACCACGGCCCCTGGGTTGAGAACAATATGCCTCCAAATCAAAGCCTATCAGAGACAATTAAGACTTCTAAAATAGGGGAGACCTTACTTCCCTATGACTTGTCTGTTTTTGGCAGCCACTGCACTGCTGGAGAACTATGTCTGATGTGCATSAGAGATCGATCTATGTACCTACCTAACTTATCTACCTACCTAGCCATCTTTCTCTTTCATTCTTTCTCTCCCCCCCCCCCCCTTTCTTCCTTTCTCTTTTTCTTGCCTGAGCATTAAATCTCATCAGACTTTCTGCCTGTGTGCACACCATTATTTATATCTCCCTAGTTCCTTACTGCACTGTRCACAGGGCCAAGCTCAGCACATTTCGACAAACAACCTTAGTATTGAAACTCCAAGGGAAGTGGAAGGGAGGGGTAGAGAGCACGACACAACCATCAAGTT